TTGGATTTGTTTTCCTGTAAACTTTCTCTTCACAAGATAATTTTTTAAAAAACTAATTCGTAAAAGGTAGATCTGTGTTTCGTTAACAAAAGGATGGTCATGTCCTGACCAATGACCTTGATGCCATCATTCACACACACACACACCCATCACCTCTCTGTTTTTAACCCAGGTACAGAATCTTGGCTTTGCTACTTGGTGTGTGACCTTGGGAGAGTGACTTAACCTACTTGGGCCTCATTGGCCAAGTACACGGCATAGGGTCTGGCATATCAACAAGGCACAGGATGGCACCTTTAAAACCAGGGTATTGGCTTGGACATGTAAGTCAACAAGTACAGGGCACGTTTTTCCGAGGGGAAACCTTGCTTAGGCACCAAGGCGCGCACGTAGCAGCCAAACGGCGGAGTCCGGGAGAGCAGCCCAGAGGAAGCGAGTCCTAACTCCTCAGAGCTCCGCCTTTCCCTTTAGAGAGAGCTGCAACCTCGGTGGTGATTAAGAAATAAAAATCGAGCAAAGAGCCACTTTCTGCCGCTAGACCCGCCCTCTCGGCCGTTCCTCCTGCTGCCAGACGCCCTCCCCTACCAGGCGGAGCGCGGCGCTGCAGCCGCGGGGGGGGAGGAGGCGGGGGTGGGCCCCGCGGTCACGTGAGCCGGGCCAGCTGTGAGCCGGGGGGCCGCGGGCGCAGCGCCGGGAGTCTGAGGAGGGGGGAGCGCCGGGCCGCCGCCTCCGCCTCTGCAGCTGCAGCCCCCGATGTCGCCGCAGTGATCTCGGCGGCGGCAGCACCCGCACCCTCGGCGGCCTCCGCATCCGCACCGCAGAGCCCAGCCCGGAGCCCGCCGCCCGGCAGGTGAACCTCGGCCGGCACGCCTGGGAGCGCAGGGCTGCGTGCAGCGTCTTCTCCCCGCAGGTTTCACTCCAGTTCGCCATCGCCGTCCCCTGTGCCTGGTCGCCTCCCGCTGTCCCTCTGAACCCACGGGTAGTACCACCCCGGGGCCCTGTCTCGGCGGGGGACGGGCTGGGGCGGGCTGGGGTCTCTGAGGGAGCAGGGGAGTGCTGGCCTTGCCCCGGAGCTGGGGGTGACTCGGCTTGTGGGCTGCGGGGACGCAGGAGAGGGGCGCCCCACCCCAGGGCGCGGGCACTGCAGCCTGATCGGAATCTGTCCCCGATCGTCGCACCTCAACCTCATCCTTCCCCGCATCTCCCTTTAAGTCTCATAACCCCCCAGGCTGCTTTTGCTGTTTCCTGTTCCTGAATCCAAGTTGCTGCCCCGCTGGGGCGTCTGCCTGTGCGCCGCTCACCTCGCTACCTCTTGGGCCGCTCCCGGGTTTCGAGGCTCGCGGGGGGCAGCGCGGGTGGTGGAGCGGGCCTGGCAGCTTCGGGGCAGGTAAGGCACCTGCCGAGCTGGTGGGCTAGCGTGAACATGGCTGCCCGGCTCTGTCCCCGCGGCCACCTGGTCCGCGATCCGGAATCGTGTCGAGGGGGCTGCCCTCCCCTGAAGGGCCAGTGTGCGGGCTGTTGCTCTGATCCACGCGGGCCGCAGGACTTGACACAACTTCCACTCAAGCCGCACCCGGGGCGAATCTTTGGGATGCGGGATGTCGGGCAGGTTGATGCGATGGCTCTGGGGCACTTATTGGTAAAAGGCACTCGTGCGTCTCTGAGACGATTGTCCACTTCGGTTTGCCTGGGTTCTCTTGTCTTTCCGGGCACCGATTACTTGGCGACGTCCCTCGTGAGGTCTGAAATGAGTGTGGTCTGCAAAGCAGGAGGGATGCGTGAACTTAAGAGAATTGATGAGAACTCGAATTTAGGGGTTAAAAATGTCCCCTGAACAAACCCAAGCGCATCTAAGGAAGCTGGTCATTTGCTGTGACTCAAGACTGAGTCAGGGTTCTGCTAAATAATATGGGGCTTTCTGGACTTGCTGTTTAATTCTGGCTGGCAAGTGTCTGGAATTAGGTTGTGGCAGCTTCCATGGTGTGTGTGTGTGTGTGTGTGTGTGTGTGTGTGTGTGTGTGTGTGTGTGTGTGTGTGTGTGCGCGCGCGCGCGCGCGNCCCCTAGGTGAGTCACCCTTAGTAGTAGGGCTATGTAGCCACAGAATTAAAGTACCCTAGAATTGTCCTAAACTGTTTATAAACGAGTTTCAAATGGGTCGAGCTTATTCTTAAGTAACTGACTGTCAGCATAAAGTCCAACACCCTTTAAAGGAATACAGAAAAAATCCATCACTCAACAACATAAAATTTACAAAGTCTGACATCCAATGACAAATTACAAGAACAAAGAAGCAGAAGATAGATCAATCGATAAAACAGACTAAAAAACAACAGAAATGATGGAAATAGCACACAAGAACTTTAAAACAGCTATTAGAAGATAAATACGATCAAGGACTTAACAAACAGTTGCAGTAAAAACAATTCCATACACAATGTAAATCGAGGTGGGGGGGGACAGTTTTCATTACTATAAAGAATGAAGTAAGGGTAGGGAGACCCTTTTTAGGGCTGAGTTCCAGTTTCTTGTAGCATAGAGTGCATTTTATGTTACTATAACTCTGAATCTAATTTTTACCTCTGGTTAGAAACTAGGGACATTATAACATTCAATCACATATTGGTGGTTCTTTCCCATTATGATCAGATCTCCTGGAATTGTGCAGCTATTTTGTGTGGAATGCATTCTGTTTGAGACATTCTAGATTTTTAAAAGTGGTTCTTAAGTTAGTAGCTAAATTTAATTAAACGGGTAATTATACTTGTGTAGAATAACCAAAAAGAGGAGGAGTACAAATACAGGAGATTTGCCTTAAAAATAAGAGACAGCATGTTACTTGTAGATAAATAGGGAAGAACTTAAAAAAAGGATCTTGAAATAAAATCCCTGTTGGAATTACCCAATTTCCCTACAGCCTAATTCTTCTGTCTTCATACCAATGCTTCCTTGAGACTATTCATTTAAGATTTTCTTTGCGTTATTTTCCTTGCATAAATTTTAGAAGGCATAGTATCTTTTACAAAGTATCGTGTCCTTTTCTGTCTCTGCCACATGCAGTAAGTAGTATTCAAGGTTTTCTGTTTTGTATCATAATCTTTAAAGAAACGTAAGCAGCCTACTGAAGTTAATTCTTACATTAAGACTGAACTATAAATCAACTCTGCTTCTTGGATTATTTTTTTCTAACATTTTACTTCTATGGCAATAATTCTTCAAAACTATTAACGCTTTATCATTTACCTGTTTCCTCTGAGCTGGGCAATGTTCAATGGTTTTCTAATGTTTCTTTTCTGAGGTAGGGTATTTTTAAAAATAAAATTAATATATAGTACAATATTTTGTTTTGTTTTTACACTTCAGTGACGTTTGGACATTTTTGTCACCTCAAAAAGAACCCCCTTATGCACATTAGCAGTCACTCCCCACTTTCTTCCAACGCCCTAAGCAGCCACCAATCTACTTTCTCTATTTACTTCCCTATTCCCAACATTTTCTGATAATCCTTAAAACTGAATCCTTTATGCTCAGGGAAAGAAAAACTGATTATCTGAGAAATTCATATGACAGTGAAATAATTTCGGCATTAAAAAGAATATCTTTATTAAAATATAGCTAACATATAATATGTTAGTTTCAGGTGTACATCATAGTTATTCAACAGTACCCACCTGGCATTATACATAATTATTACCATATTATTGATTATATTCCCTATGCTAAAGAAGTGATCACCGTAAGTCCAGCAACCATCTGACAAAATAATTTCTGATTTGAACTTTTGTTTCAAGATATACGATAGCTGCTTTTTGAAATTCAAAGTGAACCAAACAAATTCTAGCTCTCAAACCCTTTGCACATTTTGTAAAAGCTAGAACCAGTTGTATAAGGGACATAAGAGCAGTAAGATGCTAGCGCTTGGTTTGATTAAGGGTAGCAAGTCAATGGAAAGGAGATTAAAGAGTAATCAGGAATTTTAAAATTAAACTATCCTCATATATCGAGATTACTCCCAATTCTCTGAAAGTTGGGTAATTAATCCAACAGGAAATAAAATAATACCAGTTTTCTTGTCTTTTATGGAAAGTAGAACACCCAAAACAGAATCCTCTCTCTCTAGAGTGAGAAATTCCATACCTTCTCTCAAAAGGTAGAATCATTGTTTAATCACATAGAATATGAAGTCTCCCTTTAATTGAACCCAAAGTCCTACAGCAATTTCTACAAACTTTGGTTAGTTCTTTGAAGAATTGGAAAATTACTAGTAGTAACTTCTGTTTAAAGTCACTTATATCTCAAGTGAGCCATGGTGTTCAAATTGCAGATATAAGAGGTTCCACTTTTGCAATTCTGGATAAGCTTCCATCTATCAAAAAGTGCCTCAGGTGTCACAAAATATTAAAAAGAAGCCTTATTTTAAAACTACGTAGCACGAGATAGACCTTTTCCTCACATGTAGACTAGAAAAAACATCTGTAAGGAACAATTTGGTTGAAACTCAAGTCTGATTATAGAATCAACTCTTTTTTTTTGATGATCACAAGACGAAGTCTCAGCAATTCCCCTGTAAATTATCTGTACAGTTGGCCAAACTTATGAACAACTCCTAAAGCTGCAGCAGTGAATGTGACACATAATTTGTTTTTAAAACTAGGTTCAGAACGTTCATGAACTGCTATCTTACTTAGAATTAATTCATTGAAATGACACATTTGAATAATTGAATTTAGAAACTTATCTCCTAATTTTAATGAATAGAATTTTTACACCTTTTGGCAAAATACAATTTATGGTTGTTTAATCTACATATCCAAAGGGCTTCATGGATCATTTAAATTGTAAAAACAATTTCAAATAGTTGTTAATATTTACAATCTCTCTGTGTTGCCTGTACTCAATGTGTGCAGTAATTCTGTACGTTGATTTAAGGGCATTCTAAAGGTTTGTTTCTATGATAACTGAATTCAGAAAACTGACCTCCTAAACATGGTTGTCATAGGATTAAGGTAGGTAGCTGACTAATCTTGACTAGTGCTTCTCTTTGTCATCTTTCCATGGCTTTTCTATCACCTCCTTTCTTTGGTTCTCATAAGATTACATACAAGTCAACTACGCAGGCATTCTTACCCATACATGAATATCTCATTCACATAATATTATGTGTTGTTCATTCCTATGGGATTTGCCCAGTAACAGATCTTTTTTTACCCTGTTACAATTATACACCAAAAGAANCATTTAAAGAAGATGTTTATTAAGAAGTCTCTCTCCCACCCACATGCTTTCCTGCCATGTTATCCGCCTGGTTCTGTACCCAGTGTTCCTAGTTTCTAATGTATCCTTTCAGTGTTTATGCAAATACAAGCAACCATGGATATATACTCATAGTTTCCCCTTTCTTACACAAAAAGTAACATATTATATATACATAAAACTTGGCATCTTGTTTTATCCACATAATATACCCTGGAGATATACCCTACATTAATCCATAGAGCTTCTTTATCATTATTATTATTATTATTATTATTATTATTATTTTACAACCGTACTGAATCACCTTCATCTTAAAAATAAATATATGCTAGATGTTTGCGTGTTGGTGGTAAGGGGACGAAAGAGGATTTGAAGTTGCTGATCGAACAGAAGGAATAATACGGATATGATTCAAGATTAAAATACAGGTTGAATTGCATTATGGTGAATCTAGTGAGTAGGATTTTGTTTATATCTTTAAATACCTGAATGAAAATGGAAACATTAGACTAAGCACTCACCAGGCTTGGATTTTGCTTTAATTTCTGAGATTGAAAGGTCATGTGACGTGATCATAGCCAGGTCCACAGCCTGTACTATTCCCAGACACTTATTTAAATTAACAAATACCATCATTTAATCTGATTTTAAGAAAAATGTCTGGAATTCTGACCCTTGTTAGAAAATATTATCTGGATAATTGAATGGATGATAAAACAGCAACCTTTCAAATGCTTGGCTTCATTTAATCTCAGATTAACAACAGGTAGTATGCTTTCATTGGGTGTTTTTCAGATGATATAAGCCTTATCTTTGCCTCTGAGCAATATTCTGTGTCTCTACTGTAAGCAGTGTGGCAATAGTTTTTAAGGGAAATAAATTCCTTGTAATTCTTTTACTGCCATTAGAAATACATCATAAAGTAGTTGTTCAATCTTTATATATCGTTAAATGAGTACCAGTTCAGTCTGTGATATTGATTAACTCGATGTGGGTATCTTATGAATTAGAATTATTAATGAGACCCATTATTTTGTAGGTAAAAGTGTATTTAAAGAAGGAGTTTGAAAAGCATGGTGCGGTGGTGAATGAAAGTCATCATGATGTTTTGGTGGAGGATATTTTTGATAAAGAAGATGAAGACAAAGATGGATTTATATCTGCTAGAGAATTTACATATAAACATGATGAGTTATAGAGATACCTCTGCTCATTTTATATAGCATTTATCCTTAGAAGACAACCATCTTTTAAAAGTCTTATTTTTGAACATTGCTCTGTTATTGCTTTGTTTTTTATTTTTATATATTATTCTGAATATTATTTGAAGAAACCCTTAGGGTTTCTGAGTACCTAGTTCTTTCTGGTGAGTTATTGGAAAGAAAAAAAATGCCATTAAATAGAAGATTTCTAGACCATTTTCACATACTTGTATGAAGTCTTATGTTTTACTTGCTTACTTATAATTTTAAAATATTGTACCTGGGAGTATGCCCAACATAAGACCAGGCATAGTTCAAATCAGCAACCTTTTGTTTCTACTTCCCTCTATTTTCTCTAATTTAGATACTGACGTTTGGAAAGTCTTTTGCAATAGCCCAAGGCTTACTGTTTTCATGTTATAATGAAACAGTGTGTCTGTAACTACCTTTGTGTCTCTGCTTAAGGAAACAGAAAAATGGTGTTGAACTGTATTAGTTCCTGCTTGACTTGAGGAGATGTGATATGCTGAAATGATTAACAAAGTTACTAACTTATAGATATATTGAAACATTCTGCCTAAGACTCAAGCTATGTAAGGTTTCGGTTCCTGATGGCTACTGATCTATCATGATAAACAGGACAAATTATTTATGTGTTTGTTTCTTCTTAATGAAATATGTTAAAATATTGTAGACCAGATAGAGAGTTGTATTTAGTCAGTGTTTACTTTCTAAAGTTAGAAGATTACCCTTCCTGGTCCTTTAATGAATAAAAGTCCATAACTAGTGTATTTATACTATAATAACATTGTATCATAAAAGAAAATTAGTAAACCAATCAAAATTTTCCCGTGTCTGGCTCACCAGAAAACGAGGCAGACCCACAGCAACTGTTATTGAATAAGGCCTATCCTAGGTCAAAAAAACTGAGGATTTTATAATACTTTTTTGAATTGGTATTATCCTTAATACTTTCAAAAAGTGTCCAAATCCCCATTTACTAAGAATAGTCCTTTACAAAGTGATCTCAAATTCGTCACTGACTTTGATTCTCATTGGTCTAAAGCCTATGAAAAAAAAACCTGTGGATCTTAATTAATGTACCTATTTTATAGATGAGGAAATTGTCATTCAAAGAGATTGTGTGACCAAGGTCAACAGCTAACTTAATGGAACCAGGTTTTAGTCCCCAAGTTCAGTATCTTTCTGCTGCCCCTACTATTGAATTCACTGGGTCTAATTTTCTCTTCAATTTGCTCTCCTACCAATCAGCTCTGTTTTTTGTCTTTGGATCCTTATTCTTTGAAGATACTTTACTGGCCATTCATGGTGCCTTAGAATTCTCCCTATGGTCCAGGAATGGCTCTGGTTTCATTGAATAATCATGGGGTTAACACTGAATTGCCTCAAAAACCATGTCTGGTGTGAGGTTCCTGGTGTGTGCCTTAGTCCTTTCGTTCCTATTTACTTCTAGATTTAAAAAAAAGAATTATGAACAATTATTACATCAGGTATGGACTGATTATATATTGACATCTTCCTCACTAAAACAAAGAACATGTATGACAGCTTTCTCTGACAAAATCAGCTGTATCTAGAAAACTCTTAAGTTGTCATCACCACTTCCTCAACCTGAAGGAATTAGAAGTCACAATACAGAAAGCCTTATGCTGTATGATGAGGGGAAAGGAAGTAGCTTGTCATATGATGCTACTTTGTGTAAATATTACTGATGATGCTATCTATGGTACAGTAAGAAAAGTAAAAAAGAATTTTGATTATTCGGGCAGCATATTTCTTTATCTTGTGTGAATTTGTATTGATGCCCATCTAAATATGTAGACACAGTATGGAATGAAAACATGTAAATAGGCTGTGGTTGTTTTTAAGTAATCTGCCTTTTTGGTTTAGTTGTCCCTTTGCACCCTCCCATTTGTGGGAAAAACCAGACACACACTGTGACTTCACTTGTACATAATTTGACTCATTAATACTGCTAGATGTGTTATATTTAAATTTATAGGACTACGTTGTGGTATTTTAAAAATAAAGTTTATTTGGGGAATAACTGGTTTCATGAGAAATTCTTCAGCAGCTTTATTGATTTTCTTAACTGTTATTCTAGGTTTTATATTGAAAGAAGTGAGGAAGACAGATAGGTGGAGAGTGACACTTTCAATATGTCTCTGATTATCTACTCTAGGTATATTTGTAAGGAAAGCTGTGGTTTTTAAATTATTTTGAAATAAGCATTAAACCTTGAGCATTGAAGGCAATAGTTAATAGTGCATTTTTGATATTGAAAAAAGTATATGTGTGTTTGTTTGTTTGTTTTTTGGTGGTAGTTGTCACTTTTGTGTTGGTTTGTGATTTTTGTGTCATAGGTGGACATTATGATGATTAATGCCTACTGAATAAATCAGTGTAATAAAATGCTTTATGTGATTAAATGAAATGCTGGGGTGCCATAAAAATAACAAGAAACAATGATTTCTGGTTCAAATGAGCCATTTGAACCTTTCCTTGTGGAAATGAATTTGTACTCATCTTATTCATGATAATCAGATATTGCTTACATCTATATAATGCTATTTAGATATCAGCATATGTGTATGTATGTGTATATATGTATATATATATGTGTGTGTGTGTATATACGACTATATTATACCATACACACACACACACACACACACACACACACACATATATGGTTTTGTACTTACCAGAGTTAGTCATGGAAATGTTCTCTACAGCACATGATTTCCCCTCTGAAAACTTGTCTTTTCCATGCAGTTAAACTTTCCTCATGTTGATTTGGAGTCATCCCGTATTTTGCCCACATTTCTGTGTTTCAGTTATAATTTAGGTAAAATTTCCTAGCAGTTTTTTTATGTAAAACCAACAATAATCTTTTTTATCTCTTTAGCTTGAAGTTTGTCAAAGAGATGAAGTGGCTCATTTTGATATAATACATAGATTATTGTTAAGGAACAGGATTAAAAAAGAAAAAAAAAACAGTTGGAAGATTCCAGAAGACCTGCAACACTAGCTCACTGGCTTCTTTTGTTTTCAAGTTCTTTGTGTTCCCCTGGGATAAAATGGATGACTTTAGCGAGCGTGAGTCAGGGTTTTCAAAACCCATCGAAGTGCCTGTGAGCTAGACTAACATCAGTTTTATTTTATGATCTAAAAACAAATGATATGAGATGGTTGCTGAGGTTTACTAAAAAAAATCCAGGGTAAAGTGAATGCTGTTCCCTTGGTCTCTAGTAACAGCTGAATTATATCCCACTTGGGAATTGATAAGTCATTTCATTAAGTTAAAATTCCACACTGCAGTAAGGATAAAGATAATTTCCTCCTAGGCAAACAGTTGCAGTAAAAACAATTCCACACACAATGTAAATCGAGGTGGGGGGGGACAGTTTTCATTACTATAAAGAATGAAGTAAGGGTAGGGAGACCCTTTTTAGGGCTGAGTTCCAGTTTCTTGTAGCATAGAGTGCATTTTATGTTACTATAACTCTGAATCTAATTTTTACCTCTGGTTAGAAACTAGGGACATTATAACATTCAATCACATATTGGTGGTTCTTTCCCATTATGATCAGATCTCCTGGAATTGTGCAGCTATTTTGTGTGGAATGCATTCTGTTTGAGACATTCTAGATTTTTAAAAGTGGTTCTTAAGTTAGTAGCTAAATTTAATTAAACGGGTAATTATACTTGTGTAGAATAACCAAAAAGAGGAGGAGTACAAATACAGGAGATTTGCCTTAAAAATAAGAGACAGCATGTTACTTGTAGATAAATAGGGAAGAACTTAAAAAAAGGATCTTGAAATAAAATCCCTGTTGGAATTACCCAATTTCCCTACAGCCTAATTCTTCTGTCTTCATACCAATGGTTCCTTGAGACTATTCATTTAAGATTTTCTTTGCGTTATTTTCCTTGCATAAATTTTAGAAGGCATAGTATCTTTTACAAAGTGTCGTGTCCTTTTCTGTCTCTGCCACATGCAGTAAGTAGTATTCAAGGTTTTCTGTTTTGTATCATAATCTTTAAAGAAATGTAAGCAGCCTACTGAAGTTAATTCTTACATTAAGACTGAACTATAAATCAACTCTGCTTCTTGGATTATTTTTTTCTAACATTTTACTTGTATGGCAATAATTCTTCAAAACTATTAACTCTTTATCATTTACCTGTTTTCTCTGAGCTGGGCAATGTTCAATGGTTTTCTAATGTTTCTTTTCTGAGGTAGGGTATTTTAAAAAATAAAATTAATATATAGTACAATATTTTGTTTTGTTTTTACACTTCAGTGACGTTTGGACATTTTTGTCACCTCAAAAAGAACCCCCTTATGCACATTAGCAGTCACTCCCCACTTTATTCCAACGCCCTAAGCAGCCACCAATCTACTTTCTCTATTTACTTCCCTATTCCCAACATTTTCTGATAATCCTTAAAACTGAATCCTTTATGCTCAGGGAAAGAAAAACTGATTATCTGAGAAATTCATATGACAGTGAAATAATTTCGGCATTAAAAAGAATATCTTTATTAAAATATAGCTAACATATAATATGTTAGTTTCAGGTGTACATCATAGTTATTCAACAGTACCCACCTGGCATTATACATAATTATTACCATATTATTGATTATATTCCCTATGCTAAAGAAGTGATCACCGTAAGTCCAGCAACCATCTGACAAAATAATTTCTGATTCGAACTTTTGTTTCAAGATATACGATAGCTGCTTTTTGAAATTCAAAGTGAACCAAACAAATTCTAGCTCTCAAACCCTTTGCACATTTTGTAAAAGCTAGAACCAGTTGTATAAGGGACATAAGAGCAGTAAGATGCTAGCGCTTGGTTTGATTAAGGGTAGCAAGTCAATGGAAAGGAGATTAAAGAGTAATCAGGAATTTTAAAATTAAACTATCCTCATATATCGAGATTACTCCCAATTCTCTGAAAGTTGGGTAATTAATCCAACAGGAAATAAAATAATACCAGTTTTCTNGCGCGCGCGCGCGCGGGCGGGCGTCTACTGTGTTCCAAGCCCCACCAGATCGGTTGCAGAGAAAACCTATGTTAATTCAAAATGGCAGCATGAAAAATCAGGCCGGGCGGGAGCAGCACAGACCACTGCTAACATCAGCCACCCCCTGACTTAGGCCTTGGCGAGGGAATCTGTGGGAGGGACAGCTCTCCTGGGTGTCTCTATGGCCAGCTCTAAGGGTAGGGAGTAATTTTTACAGCAGGTTAGATTTTAGGGTGCTGTAGGATCCTGGGGAGGTTAAGTGGGAAGTTGAGGGAGCTGTAATTATTTTCTAGAACTTATCAAAAGCTGGTGCAAAGACCTAATTAAAACTATCTGTGATTCTGAACCGATTTTATCCAGGCTCCACTAAAGTGAATTTCTGTGGCTGCTGAGGTCTGTTTGATGCATAACTTCAGTGTTGTTTTGTACCTACAAGTGGCTCTTAAAAGAGATGGGTGTCTAGTATAAACATCATCCAAGAACACTACACGTAACAAATACCAGGTATTTAGAGCAAGTTTCATTGCAAGAAGTGATCTAACACCATGAGCAAGCATCCAGGCACCAGAGAATGGTAAATTCTTGAAAGG